GAGAGCCGAGAGGAACACAAGGCCAAAGAAGAGGAGAAGAAGAGGAAGTTTGGAGTAAATTATGCTGGACCTCGTTACCCACCCAGGAGAGGTCCTAGCAGTTTTGGGAGAACACAGAGTCAATCTATGTCGGGAACATCATACAGGCACCAATTTCCTCAGCCACACAATTTCCATTTTGTCAAGTTTGTTAGAAGAGGCATCCTGGAGAGTGTAGGAGATTTTCTGGTGTATGCTTTCACTGTGGCCAACCTGGGCACATCATGAGGGATTGCCCGCATTCGAGAGAAGTAAGAGCTACACAGTCCGAGCCTTCAGTGCAATTTAGTAGAGCCCCATTCAGGGGCGGTTACCAGGGAGGCCGTAGTGGATTTCAGAGTGGTCGTGGTGGTTCACAGGGTGGTAGAGGTGGTGGTCGAAATCAACCATCAGGAAGTGGTACGCAGGGTACCAGAGCACAGGGAGCATCGAGGGTTTATGCAATGACTCGAGGTGAGGCAGAAGTGGCACCAGAAGTTGTGACTGGTATGCTTTCTATCCTTGGCAAGCAATTATATGCTTTGATCGATACTGGTTCCTCTCACTCATTCATGTCATATACGTTTGCACATATGCTACGCTTAGTTCCAGATAAGCTAGGTTATACCTTATGTGTTAAAACACCTGTGGGAGATACCTTGAAGGTAGACTCAGTTATTAGAAGCTCCTTCATTTGTGTGGAAGGAGCTTTCCTAGTAGCAGATTTAATTCTGCTACCTTTTGATGAATTTGATGTCATCCTTGGAATGGACTTTCTGGCAACACATGGAGCTGTTGTGGATTGTCAAAAGAAAGAAGTGTTATTCAACACACCAGATAAAGGTCCTGTTGTATTCCGGGGCATTAAGAAAAAGGAGACTCATGGTTTTCTTTCGGCCATGGAAGCTTTTCGATTAGTGAAGGAAGGTTGTGAAGCCTTTCTTGCTCAAGTTACTGTAGTAAATGATAAGAAGGTTGAGGATGTAGAGGTGGTAAGGGAGTTTCCTGATGTATTCCCTGAAGAACTTCCCGGCCTTCCACCAGAAAGGGAAGTAGAGTTTGATATTGAATTGGTACCTGGCACAACACCACTTTCAATGGCACCATATAGAATGGCACCAATTGAGCTGAAGGAGCTTAAAGAACAATTGCAAGAATTGCTAGACAAGGGGTTTATTCGACATAGCATCTCACCTTGGGGTGCACCAGTTTTATTTGTCAAGAAGAAAGATGGCTCCATGAGAATGTGCATTGACTACCGGAGGTTGAATAAGGCGACAGTGAAGAATCGTTATCCCCTTCCAAGAATAGATGATTTGTTTGATCAATTGCAGGGTGCATCAGTCTTTTCTAAGATTGATTTGAGGTGTGGATACCATCAGTTGAAAGTGGCGGATGGAGCAACTTCAAAGACAGCTTTTAGAACAAGATATGGGCATTATGAGTTCCTAGTAATGCCTTTTGGACTCACTAATGCACCAGCGGTATTTATGGCTCTTATGAACAGAGTTTTCCATGAATATCTTGATAAGTTTGTGATTGTGTTCATAGATGATATTCTCATCTATTCTAAAAGCGAGGAGGAGCACAAAACTCACCTTAGAATTGTGTTGCAAATTCTAAGAGAGAAACAATTATATGCAAAATTCTCAAAATGTGAGTTTTGGTTGAAGGAGGTAATATTTCTGGGACATGTAATTTCTGGAAGAGGTGTCGAGGTGGATCCAAAAAAGGTGGAAGCAGTGGTGAGTTGGGCTCCACCAAAAGATGTGTCCGAGTTGAGAAGTTTTCTTGGCATGGCTGGTTACTATCGGCGGTCCGTAGAAGGATTTTCTAAAATTGCTGCACCATTGACTAAACTGTTGAGGAAGAATACCAAGTATGTTTGGGATGAATCATGTCAAAGGAGTTTTGATGAACTGAAGAAGAGATTGACCACAGCACCAGTACTTGCACTACCTTCAAGTCAGGGAGAGTTTGTGGTGTATAGTGATGCCTCGTATCAAGGACTGGGTTGTGTGTTAATGCAAGATGGAAGAGTTATCGCATATGCCTCTAGGCAATTGCGTCCTCATGAAGTAAATTATCCCACTCATGATTTGGAGTTGGCAACGGTGGTATTTGCTCTCAAGATTTGGCGACATTATTTGTATGGTGAGACTTTTAAAATCCTAACTGATCACAAAAGCCTGAAGTATATTATGGATCAGAAGGATTTAAATAGTCGCCAAAGGAGATGGATTGAACTTCTAAAAGATTATGATTGTACAATTGATTACCATCCAGGTAAAGCTAATGTAGTTGCTGATGCTTTGAGCAGAAAAGGCAAGAAGAATATAACGGACCTGGTGGATTTGAGGGCAATGAATGTTGATTTGGAAGTGGATGGTGTAACAGGGTTACTAGCTCGGTTGAACATTCGACCTTTGTTGCACGACAAAATTCGTGAGAAGCAGAAGGAGGACTCAGAGTTGGTAAAAATCATTCAAGACATTGAGGAAGGAAAAGAAAGCCCATTTGAAATGGTAGATGGCATGTTGAAGATGAATGGAAGAGCATGTGTTCCTAATGTTGATAACTTGAGGAAAGAGATCCTAGATGAAGCTCATTCTTCTGCTTATGCTATGCACCCAGGAGCAACTAAAATGTATCACACGATCAAACCATATTTTTGGTGGCGTGGGATGAAAAAGGAAGCGGCTGAACATGTTTTCACATGTCTGGTATGTCAGAAAGTTAAGGCAGAACATCAAGCTCCTGTGGGAAAACTGCAACCACTTCCAATTCCAGAATGGAAGTGGGAAAGAATCACAATGGATTTTGTATATGGTCTCCCATCATCAAGGGGAAAAGATGCAGTATGGGTTATTGTGGACCGACTGACCAAATCGGCTCACTTTTTACCCATTAGATGGAAACCATCACTGGAGACTTTGTCTCAACTATATATTAAGGAGATCGTCAGATTGCATGGTGTGCCAATTTCTATTGTCTCTGATCGAGACCCGAGCTTCACATCTCGATTTTGGCAAAGTTTACATGATGCCTTGGGAACTAAACTGCATTTTACTTCAGCTTATCATCCTCAAACAGATGGGCAGAGTGAACGAACCATCCTTACCTTAGAAGAGTTACTTCGATCATGTGTAATGCAATGGGAGGAATCATGGATTGACCATTTGCCCTTGATTGAGTTTGCTTACAACAATCAGTACCATAGTAGTTTGGGTGTTCCGCCATATGAAGCACTTTATGGGAGGAAGTGTAGAACACCATTATATTGGGATGTAGAAGGAGCAAGGCAAATCTCAGGGCCAGAGATAGTTCAGATCACAGTTGATAAAGTCAAGGAAATCAGGGAGCGTTTGAGGGTGGCTCAAGATCGGCAGAAAGTTTATGTTGACACGAATAGGCGTGAAGTTAATTTCGAAGTGGGTGAGAATGTATTTCTCAAAGTTTCACCCTGGAAAGGCGCAATGAGATTTGGTAAGAAAGGAAAGCTTGCACCTCGATATATTGGGCCATATGAAATCACAGAGAAGATTGGACCAGTGGCTTATAAGTTAGCATTGCCTCCAGAACTATCCCAAATCCACAATGTATTTCATGTTAGTATGCTGAAGAGGTACAAAGTGGATCCTTCCCATGTTATACAACCAGAAGAGATCGAGTTGGGTTCAGATTTGACTTTTGAGGAGGTTCCAGTTGAGATTGTTGATTTTCAGATTAAGAATCTTCGTAGGAAGGAAATCCCAATGTTGAAAGTGGTTTGGAGAAATCAGGAAAGTGAGAGTGCTACCTGGGAGACTGAAGCAAGTATGCGAGAGAAGTACCCTGAGTTGGTAGCGACATACTTTGCAGGTTAACAATCTTGCTTAATAAGTTATGTTTTGAACTTGTTGATGTGCTTTTGTTGTGATAGCCCAGTATAGGTTTTTGAAACCTAAACATGGGAACTTGAGGTGTTATGTGTTACTTTCTATGTTATGAATCGCCTAACCTAAGAGTTAGGTAATGGGTTATCTACGATAAACCATGTCAAGGGTAAGTAAGCGGACTAAGGGTACAAATTAAGATTAGATTTCGGGGACGAAATCTTTTAAGGAGGGGAGAATTGTAACATCCCGTTTCGGCTAAAATCGTATTTCGATCGTTAGAAAGTTCGCGATTTAAAATCGAGCGTTTTGATAGTATTTCGACGAAAATCGGATTATCGATCGATCGGATAAGTATACGTATTAATTATATATATAATATTTTATATATATATATATATATATATATATATGGTGAATACTGGTGTACGTCAGGCGTATAGTATACGTCAGGTGATCTAGCCGTTAGATGTAGTTAGATAAGCTCCGGCCGATCTCAACGGTCAATTTTTGTTTTTCATTTAATCAAACTTTGGGTTAGGGTTTAGAAAATGGGTGCCTGGGGTTTATCCATTAGAGGTTAGGGTATAGTATCATACCCCAAACTCGATTTAATTCATGGTCTAGATAGAGATATCTCACTAGTAGTACCTGACATATAGTATACGCCTGACGTACGCCAGTCTGACCCATATATGTATATTACATAAAAGCGGACGAGCCACTTTCATTCCAATATTCTCATCATCATCTTCCATTCTCCACCGAGAAAGAACCGAGAGAAGCAAAAAAACCAGAGCGACCAGAGCCGCGCACAGGGGAAGTCCTGGGAAAATTTCACAGCTCAAATCTTGAGCCCTAGTGATCCAAAAATCCCGTAAGTAATGCCTAATTCATCTATGCATCGTGATTTATCGATTTAGAGCTTTAAAACGAGTTTTTGGTTCAGGAATTTCTTGAATTCCCGATAAGCCAAATTAGGGTTTCGGAGTATCCGGAAGCCGGATTGAGCCCAAATTTCATATACGACCTTCCTGCAGCGAGGTAATCAATCCTCTAGTTCTAATCCCTGAATTTCGCCTATTATTTAGGCCGGGGTCCAAACCGCTGAATTTAACTCCGGCCAGGGTTTGATGTGTTTTTATCAAGAATTTGACCCGGAGCCTAGAACTAATATTGACGGGGATACTGCAGGGGATATTAGGACGGTCTCGGATTTTAATTCGGGGTTCGTTCGTGAAATTGACGTTTTAGTACGGGGAGGTTAAACCGGTGTTTGAACGACCAGAACTGGTGAGGGATTAGCACGGCATACCGGGTTTGTCGTATCACGATAATTATATTGATGCTGAGAATTGATCTAGGTGAACTAGAATGGCATGATTAGGGGGTGTATGAACTTTTGTGCTATACGTTGAACCCTGGATTGCTGTATGATATTATTGACTTGCCCTAATCGATATGAACCTTGTTTATGCTGATGATTATGTATATGTTACAAATTGTGGGCTTGACTATTAATATGCTTTACGATGGTTCGAGAAGGTGATTAGGTATGATTTTTCATGATTGTTGTATTTGGATGCACAAGTGGGAAAATATATATTCCCTGGTGATATTATGATGTTTAAGGAGGATGACTTGCACGAGGGTTCATCCCGAGGAAGTGCAATTATACGACTCCTGATTTACCTATGTTGAGCCAATTATGGCCAGGTCAAGTACATGTGTAAGTAATGAATTATGGTTAAGCAAGATGAGATATGAATCATGTACAAGGATACCAAATATGAATGTTGTGGTCTCACGGTCAATTACGTAGTAATTAGGGCTCCCTATGCTATTACTCTATTATGATATGTATGATAGTCACACCTCTCATGTGGTGGTGACTGAAGAATTCTTATGAGATATGACCACACCCAGAGCGGTGTCGGGGTATGACTACACCCATACTGGTGTGGGGTATGTATGACCACATCCGACGGGATGTTGGGGTATGTATGACTACATCCGAAGGGATGTGGGGTATGTTTCCCGGGAGAGTTATTAGCATGGGAGTAGCCAGGCGCCTATAAGTAAAACATGATAAGATGCATATGCATAAGTCAAGGTGGTTGAGTCTTTTGCCTATTGGGATGTCGGAGGGCTGAGATCTGATCCTAGTGCTTTGGCTTGTTTGCTAGATGTATGGTAGGGGTATGCTCTGTTATGAACTCACGATGCTATGATTATCTCACTCAGCTATGAGCTGACCCTCTTTTATTCTTCTTCTCTGCTTATGCTATGTGTAAGCAGATCATCAGCAGCAGCAGTAGATAGGTGTATAGGTAGGAGCTGAGCAAGAGTTGAAGGCAAGATGAGGTATGGTCTTCAACTACTCTGTGGGAGGTTAAACACTCCTAAGGAGGGGAGTACCCCATAATGACTTAAACTGGGAATTGAGTTTGACATGATTATGTGTATTGGTATATTGGATGAAATTACCTGCATCATGGTGTTCAAAATGAGTTTTGAACTTATTTGTTTTCAAGTAATTATTTTGGGAAAATTTTTGTTTTAACCAAGTGAGAGATTTGGTGAAGAATGAATTTTGTGTGGATCAATCTAAGGCCAATATTTCCTTGTAGCTTGCACGGAAGTTGTGAAAATGTTCCTACTAACCAGTCGAGAGGAGTGGGGGCGGTTGATGCAAGACCGTCAGTATTAGACTATGCAAAGATGAAGAGTTTGGGTGGTAGGGACTTCAAGGGAGATGTGAGCCCAGATGCTGTGGTTGAGTGGTTGAGGGAGATGGAAGATGTGTTTGAATATCTTTATGCGACCCCAGAGGAAAAAGTACAATATGTTGTTTTTCTCCTTAAGGGGTACGCGAGGAGCTGGTGGTCCTCAGTCTCTAGAGTTAATGGTGAACGAGTTCAGTTCACCTGGGAGGAGTTCCTGAAGGCCTTTAAGACAGAGTTTCTTCCCGAAGCTTTTATAAGGGCAAAGAATAATGAATTCGCCAACCTTAAGCAGGAGAACATGACAGTTACTGAGTACACCATCAAGTTTGTTCGACTACTTTACTTTGAAGATGGGTTGGCGGATACTGAGCATAAGAAGAAGATGAGATACTTGCATGGTCTGCGCATAGGATTGAAAGAAAAGATCCACAGGGTTGATGAAGAGAGCATGGCCACAATCAAGGAGGCAGCACTTAAATATGAAGCCTATGAAGTTGAGAGCCGAGAGGAACACAAGGCCAAAGAAGAGGAGAAGAAGAGGAAGTTTGGAGTAAATTATGCTGGACCTTGTTACCCACCCAGGAGAGGTCCTAGCAGTTTTGGGAGAACACAGAGTCAATCTATGTCGGGAACATCATACAGGCACCAATTTCCTCAGCCACACAATTTCCATTTTGTCAAGTTTGTTAGAAGAGGCATCCTGGAGAGTGTAGGAGATTTTCTGGTGTATGCTTTCACTGTGGCCAACCTGGGCACATCATGAGGGATTGCCCGCATTCGAGAGAAGTAAGAGCTACACAGTCCGAGCCTTCAGTGCAATTTAGTAGAGCCCCATTCAGGGGCGGTTACCAGGGAGGCCGTAGTGGATTTCAGAGTGGTCGTGGTGGTTCACAGGGTGGTAGAGGTGGTGGTCGAAATCAACCATCAGGAAGTGGTACGCAGGGTACCAGAGCACAGGGAGCATCGAGGGTTTATGCAATGACTCGAGGTGAGGCAGAAGTGGCACCAGAAGTTGTGACTGGTATGCTTTCTATCCTTGGCAAGCAATTATATGCTTTGATCGATACTGGTTCCTCTCACTCATTCATGTCATATACGTTTGCACATATGCTACGCTTAGTTCCAGATAAGCTAGGTTATACCTTATGTGTTAAAACACCTGTGGGAGATACCTTGAAGGTAGACTCAGTTATTAGAAGCTCCTTCATTTGTGTGGAAGGAGCTTTCCTAGTAGCAGATTTAATTCTGCTACCTTTTGATGAATTTGATGTCATCCTTGGAATGGACTTTCTGGCAACACATGGAGCTGTTGTGGATTGTTGTATTTGGATGCACAAGTGGGAAAATATATATTCCCTGGTGATATTATGATGTTTAAGGAGGATGACTTGCACGAGGGTTCATCCCGAGGAAGTGCAATTATACGACTCCTGATTTACCTATGTTGAGCCAATTATGGCCAGGTCAAGTACATGTGTAAGTAATGAATTATGGTTAAGCAAGATGAGATATGAATCATGTACAAGGATACCAAATATGAATGTTGTGGTCTCACGGTCAATTACGTAGTAATTAGGGCTCCCTATGCTATTACTCTATTATGATATGTATGATAGTCACACCTCTCATGTGGTGGTGACTGAAGAATTCTTATGAGATATGACCACACCCAGAGCGGTGTCGGGGTATGACTACACCCATACTGGTGTGGGGTATGTATGACCACATCCGACGGGATGTTGGGGTATGTATGACTACATCCGAAGGGATGTGGGGTATGTTTCCCGGGAGAGTTATTAGCATGGGAGTAGCCAGGCGCCTATAAGTAAAACATGATAAGATGCATATGCATAAGTCAAGGTGGTTGAGTCTTTTGCCTATTGGGATGTCGGAGGGCTGAGATCTGATCCTAGTGCTTTGGCTTGTTTGCTAGATGTATGGTAGGGGTATGCTCTGTTATGAACTCACGATGCTATGATTATCTCACTCAGCTATGAGCTGACCCTCTTTTATTCTTCTTCTCTGCTTATGCTATGTGTAAGCAGATCATCAGCAGCAGCAGTAGATAGGTGTATAGGTAGGAGCTGAGCAAGAGTTGAAGGCAAGATGAGGTATGGTCTTCAACTACTCTGTGCTTGGACTACTACTCGGGATTTTGGCCAGTGATCCACACCTTTTTGTAAAAATGTTTTGAGAACATTTTCATGTGCATACTAGCTTCGAATGTAGTGTGAGATATCCACAGGTGTGGAAAGTTGATGATATGTGTATATTTTTGTAATTGGGTAAGTTATGACGATTATGGCTTGTATTAGTATGGTATGCAGTTGTGTAGTATGAAACTGTGACTATGGCTATGAAAAGCCAATGCATATGGTTGTGAGTATATATGTTTGTGATGAATTATTTTGCAGGATAAGTTGCAAGAACTGTTAGCCCATTACGCGAGTAATTCATGTCGAAATTTTATTTTGGTAATTTTTGATAATTAATGTAACACCCGAGATTATTTCCGCTGCAATTGTATGAACAATATGATTAGGCAAAACGTATAGGGTAGGTTGTTACAATGTTGACATTGAGATGCAGTTTCTTGATGATTTGAGTACAATTTTATGTACATGTTGTGAAGTAGAGTAATTTTGATTACATAAATACATACTCTGCAGTATATATATGAATGTGTATTATATAATCATATGCTATGGGAATGGGTTGTATGCCCATATTTATTTTAAAGAAGTACTATCTGTCAGTACTAAGTAAACCAGATCCATGCCAATTAGAATGGTGCCCTTCGTGGTAACCAAAAGATAGTAGGTCAATCCTCTTAGAATGACATTTTATTTCTTTGCTATAGTTGCAAGAAATTAGGTCATATGACACGAAAGTGTATGAACAAGGATAACACTGGTTCAAGTGTTAACTTGCCTAAAGAGGAGGATTGGAGGCTGTGATGATTGTGAAAAGAGCAGAGTTTAACCTTGATGGTAACTCTGACGAATAGTGGTTGGATGATCATGAGAGTATGCATATGATGATGTGGTTAATTTTAAAATCCAAGGTTGAGTATGCATATAGAGGAAAGTTGATTGACAGGGTCATTACTAGAGATTCCCTTATGGGAAAGACCGATCCCTCTGGTAGTTGATTCATTGTGATAGCAACCCAGCTATTGCAAAAGAAGGGAACCGGTTCTAGAACGAAAAGAGAAGACAAATTCATCGTAAGCACAGTACTATAAGAGAACTCCTAACGATAGGAGCAATGAGGGTGGATCATGTAAGATCCTAACAGAATCTAGCTGATCCTTTGACAAAAGGATTATCTAGAGAGAAAAGTCCAAAATACCACGAAGGTATGAGACTTATGCCTACTGAACCACGGACTACAAGTGATGGTAACACGACCCAATAGACTGGAGATCCCAAGAAATGGGTTCAATGGGTAATAACAAGTCATGAGTAGTATGCGAAAAGTTCATGCATAGTGAAGCATGAATCCCAAAGCAATGGAGGTTGAGCTAACAACTCTTAATGAGATCTATACCCTATGTGGGGTGGAGTACTTTACTTTGAGGGTACTTCTGATAGACTCACCTATGTGAATGTGGGAGTTGGGCCGCTCCCTATGGAACTTTGGAGGCACAAAGTTGCTAGAGCGTTCACTAAACCGGGATAACGTGCATGACCATAAACGCACGGCCTATGAGAGAATATCACTCAATGAAAAGATCCGGTGTGCTACATTGTCTGAGATAGGGTTCAAGACTACGAGTCACCCTTATGAAATCGGAAGTGTAACCAATACGCTAAGGTTCAAATCTTTGCGATACCTCAGCTTATGCCCGACCTTATGGATCTGTTGATGCTTAGAGATAGTTTCAAAACTATTCAAGTGGGGGATTGTTGGGAATGAATAGCTTTGAAAGCTATATTGAATTAATTATCCAGTATTTTTTCTAGATACGAATATAAGATGGATAATTAATAAAAGGAATATTATGGAGATAATTAGAATTAATTATCTTAATATAATGCATTTTAATTATGAGAGTAATTATCTTCCTAATTAAAATGTGGCTTGTTCCCAAAGAAAGAGGGAATATCTAGGTTTTTTGCTCTAATAAATAGCAGAACCCTAGAACCTCTAAAGACACCACAGAGAGCAGAAACACGAGAGAGAGTGAGATTCAGAGAGCTCCGATTTTTGCACAAAACCGTTGAGCAAATTTAATGAGTGGTTGTTTTATCCTGGAGGCGACCGGATGATAGTCTGTCGTGCGCAACGAGGGCAGTGCCGCGAACGTCTTAAAGAGAGCGACCTAGTCCGCGACTCAGCCAAATTCGATAACCCTAATTTTTCAGTTCGATTTCTAACAATAACTACATTTATATAGTTGATAGATAGAAAGATGATGTAGACGTGTTGCTTGATCGTTCTCATATTGAGAGTGTTCGTTGTATTGGGGCTTGCAATAATAAAGCATCGGATTCAACAACAACAACAAAAAAGATAAGATATAACCATAAAGGAATGATTGTTTTTGTTAGGGTAATGTCTATTTTTTATCCAAACTTTTTTCATATTCTTTTATATTATTCAAACATATTAAAATTCTATTAATTAGCCAAAATTTTCATAATGCATCAAAATATTAGCCAATTTTACGTTATTGTTAATAATTTTGTAACTCTTTTCTTAGTTAAAATACTAAAATTTTGGAATGTTGACCTTCATGTGTCTCTTCCAAGTTAGTATCATGTTGCCAAGTCCATATTACTAACAAAATTGCTAACCGGAAGTTAACATTTGGATAATTCTTAGTATTTCTATAGGTTTGGATAATATAAAAGAATCTGAAAAAAGTTTGGATAAAAAATTGACATGCAAATAATGCTTTTTACAATTTGTGCAAAGAAATTCAAAAATTCGTCCCATGTTAACGACAGCAGTTACACTGTATAACTATTTCAACTAGGACTGCAAATGAGCCGAGCCGAGTCGAGTTTTACCCCAGCTTGAGCTCGGCTCGTTAATAAACGAGTCGAGTTCGAGCTCGGCTTGTTTATTAACGAGCCGAGTCGAGTCGAGCTCGAGCTAGCTTGTTTAATAAAATCTTGACTTTTATTTGGTACTTCATTTTGCATATCATGATACATATGATTTATTTTGTTAGCTAATCTCATATGATACTTTGTTGGTATCATATATCACTTAGTTAATAAATTTTAACTACTCTAAATCATATTATTTCATAGTATCGAAGCAATTTATGATACATAATTTCTTTTTAAAGTAGAAAATATTATATATTTGCATACTCAACGTGTTAAACTTTATATATGGTGAGATATATAATTTAACAACCAAATGAATTAAAATTATAAGATATAAATTGATTCATCCATAAGTCGGTAATCGAGTTGGCTCTCTAGCCATATGTTGAGACATATCACGAGCTCTAAACGAGCCAGCTCACGAGTTTAGCTCAACAAACCACCGAGTTGAGCTAGCTCGCGAGCTTCACGAGCTGAACAAAGCTAAGCTCATGTTAAACGAGCCGAGTTTCAAACGAGCTTTTCTCGAATCGAACAACGAGCCGCTCGCGAGTAGCTCGGCTCATTTGCAGCCCTAATTTCAACCAAACCACGAGCCCAAGTCTTCGCGACCCACTACTAACACCGGCCCAGCCCATACCAAAGTCCAATGAGTACAAATATGCACTAGCGGCATTGGACTCATAAATGGGCCGCGGCAAATAGAATCAACACATGTCCACATCGATGGATAATTGCAGAGGAATTTTCCAATGAGTACAAATATGCACTAGCGGATAGTTGCAATAGATAAAGTCATAAAACTGCTCGGTTCCCCGGATACGAAAACCCTAGAAGGTCGGCGAATCGTTAGATCTGCGGTCAAGCGTTCTTCACCTGCCGACGGTCGCTGGTAACATGAATAAGGGTAAGGCTAAGGGGTTGTTTGCTTCAAGGATTTGCATTATGGATTTGGTACCAAAAAACCAACTATTAAGGATTTAAGTACAATCCTTTGTTTGCTTGGTCCAAAAATGTTAAAACAAATCCGTGGGCCCCACAGATTTAGGTTTTTTTTTCACTCCAAATCCGTGGGGCCCACAGCTTTACAAATCCCACATGATTATTAGGGAATTGGTGATGGGCTGAAAAACCAAGAGGTCAAATGACACTCCTATCCTCATTCTTTTTTATTAAACCAAAATTGCCCTCTTCACATCCACCATATCTGCCGCTTCCTATTCCTTCTCGCCAAACCGGGAAACCTGTCGAAGCTTCCCTTCCTGGAAAATTGCAGCCGACCCCCAAGCTCCGACGGCGTCAACCTCCGACGATCAGGTGATCTTAGTTCATGAAAAGAAGCCTGGTTCTGGAACCACAGAGTTTGGTAGTGGGGAGGCCCCAGACGTGGAGAATTGGAAGGTTGCATTGACTTTGAGAGGGCATAGCGCTGATGTGGTAATGGCATTTGCTTTCGCTAGTTGGATCGCCAAAGTTGGAAAAACTTTTTTGATCTGTTTTTTGCTGTTCATTGAATGGATAAATAAATGCCTTGGCTATGTTTTTTTGTTCGTGCTAGTTGTTTCTAGTATCTTCTAACTAGGAGTTTTTGTTCTATGCTTAAAAGTAGGTGGATCTCAACAAGGAAAGAAGGGGGAAACGCATGGCAATCCCTTCCTTTAATGGGTTAAAAAAGGGCAATAAGGTAAATGCAATTCTTTATTTCTAAATCCCAAATTATTAAATCCATGATCAAAATGAAGAAACAAACAAAGGATTTTTCTAAATCCAAAATGCCCCAAATCCCAAATAAAACTTTAAGTTTTTAAATCCTACGTTTAAGTGAAAACCCTCATTTTACAATCCTTGAAGCAAACAACCCCTAAGTCGAAGAGGCACACTAAATCAAGGCGTAAGCGTAACTCCATCAACCCCCGGAGAATCCCTGATTCGCCCAAGGCATCTGGATCTGAACCAGAACCGCCGGTGATCGATCCCGACGCTTCCGATAGTCATATAGTACATCTCCAGGTTAATGCTTTTAAACGGCGCGGAATGAAGTCCCTCAAACTGCCAAAGACAGATCAGCCCAAGGCGAATGTCGCTGATCCAAAGGAGGCCCTTGAATCGGAGGAGGTGGAGTCGGAGGGATTGGAAGAGACAGATCAGCCTAAGTTGAATGTCGCCGATCCAAAGGAGGCCCTTGAATCGGAGAAGGAGGAGTCGGAAGGATTGGAAGAGAAAGATCAGCCTAAGGCGAATGTCGCCTATCCAAAGGAGGCCCTTGAATCGGAGAAGGAGGAGTCGGAGGTATTGGAAGAGACAGATCAGCCTAAGGCAAATGTCGCCGATCCAAAGGAGGCCCTTGAACCGGAGGAGTCGGAGTCGGAGGAGTCGGAGGAGGAGGAGTCGGAGGGATTGGAAGAGGAGGCCGAATCGGAGCAGGAGACCATTAAGCCAAAGATATATTTAGGACCGCCGGAGGGTTTTGATAGTTATCCAGAGACCAAATACGGGAAGAGATCCTGTCAATGCTGCCAAAAGCTTCGAGAGCGGGAGTTCAAACCCAAGGACGACGATTGCAATTATTTATATGATAAGGACGATTTTGAGGGCGACGAAGAGCTTAAGCTGCGGGTGATCCATCATAGGAAAAAGAAGTGGATCACCGGTGTAAGTAGTTCCAACCTTATAACCTAATTATATATATGTCTACTAATTGTTCTTCAAATTCTAACTACCAAGATAGGGTTCTCGACCTGTGACGCTATCGTCCAGGTGGTACGTGTGTACTGAATAGCAGCCAATTTGGTTGGCTTCGTGCTCATTGGGTCTGGGGTCAGGGGAATACCTTTGTTTCGATTAATTTTTATTGGCGGTTTGCAATGAAATTTATCTCTTATTTTACTCGCAGGGATTTTATGCTGATTGCCAGCCCGCATTCACTAGATTCGGAGGCATTTTCCACCAAGAACATCACTGGGAAGTTCTGAATTTAGATGATATGATCCAGTCTTCTGTTAGATTTGTCATCAAGCAATATGAAAAGCTGAAGGTAATTGTTACTATTAGTGTCCTGTTAAAAGAAATAGTTTGTTCTATTACTGACACTAACCTGAAGAACCATAGCATGCTTGCCCTTCCTCATGCATGTATATGTTCACTACAGGGCCGGCGCTTGCGTTTAGAAAACATTCTGAACACGACTATGGAGCGATATGCTTGTTGGTGGTTCTATGTGACTTTTACTGGCTGCGAGCAGTCTTCTGATGAAGTCCAGATTTACCATACCTTGGTGGCCTATTTCTTCAGGGGGGGAAAACATGAAGTTGCAATCCTAAGGAGGAAAGTTATCGGTAAAGGTAATCAACAGCTTGTTTTAGACAGGTCATCAGTGCATACTTAAATAGTTAGGCTATCGAGGTATATGGTTTATAGTACAACAATTGCTCTTGAGTTAATTATGCGAATGATTTGTTGTGTTAAAAACTCAAAGCCTTCTTGTTGAACATATATAGTTAGTGTTCACGCATGCCTCTATCTTTGAGTAGCATAGTTATGCCATGATGAATAAGCTTGTGCATAAGGGGGAATTCCTCTTCTCCTGATGTTTGTTTCCTGGCATGTCACCAATACCCTTGTGCAAGAGTTCATGTTGAACTAGTTTGGTAACATTGTCCATCAGGTCGGCTAACCTATGTGCAT